GCCCCCAAGGAAGTTTTTTTTTTTTTTTTTTTTTTAAGCTTAGCCCCCCTGATTGGAGCCGAGCCAGCTGATACAGATGGGGTGTTACAAAACAGAGCCAAAAGGCAAGAGCGCAAGGAACAGAGCTATGTATAACCCTGACAAAGTTAGATGGAGTGAAGGTGGGGAAGAGGGAAAGACAGAGCGTGGCAGGCAGCCCCTGATGCTGAGAGCAAGGATGCGATCGTTCGGCAACGGGATTTGGAGCTGATTGACTCCCGCTACCCAGCAGGCAGATAAGGCTCTGTGGCTGTCAGCTTAACTCTGCCATTTATTCCTGTGCTGTAGGGAGTTAAATAGAGCACACGGAAAGCCTGCTGCCGGGGAGTGAAAGTCAAGGAGGGAGAGGGAAGGAAGAGACTGTAATTGGGCAGTGCCCAGGGAGTCGGGTGGAAGTGGCTGCGGGCAGAGCCCCTCCAGGTAAGTGCTTGCGGCTTTTCATCCTCCTTGTCGATACCGACAGTCGGGGACAGGAGACTTCAGGGGTGGCATTTAGGACAGAGACCTTGATACGGGGGAGCCTGAAAGTCTCCTTCTCAGCCAGGGCGAGCACAAGCACCGAATGGGGACAGCTATTTGTTGCGGCTTCTCCTTCAGCGGGGACTGCAGGGAAGGGGCTCTAGCTCGGCTTGGGGAGCGGGGGGGGCTGCAGCGGGTGGAGGTTGGATTGGTTTCAGTGCCGTGAGAGTTATTCATCTATTATTTGGTGCATTGGCATTTCGGTAAATGATCTAAATAGCCTTGCAAAATGTACTAGTCCAGGCACTGAACCTGCTCGTCTTTCTCACCAAGATGCTAATTTAAATATTTCCTGGTGGTTTACACTCCTGTATAAAATCAATCAGTCATGGGAGCCTGGGGGAGGGGGAGCAGCTGGCACGTGTGTGGGGAGAGTGTCCCGGTGGGAGTGCAGCACCCAGCTAAAATAAGAGCTGTGGATGTTGTCAGAGCCCCTCAGAGAGGAGGGAGGATGGTTTATTTCTGTACCCTGGTTGAAATGTGTCCATCTAACTGCTGCTGTGACTGTGGGTGGCACGTCAGAGAGCAAGCAGGAGGACAGGAGAGTCCATGGTGTTTCCTCTTTTCCTGCTTGCCTGTATCCAAAAGGGAAGAAGGAAGGAAGGAGGAACCTGTTGTCAGTCACTTATTGTCATGGGAGAGTTTATGGTCTTTGGGTTTCTAATTAGACTGAGCATTTTTCCTTCTTCTAATTAAGATGTAATTCCTCTCTTTTCAACACTCCCACTCAGTCTCCCCCGCCCCAGGTCCTCCCTTCTCCTCCGAGGCTTGCTTGCTCTTCAGCTCCTGCAGTTGCTGCAGTGTGAAATCCCCAAGCTGAAGCTGTGCTCTGCTCAGCCCTGCCTAGGCACCACATCCATTTTACCTTAAAACAGAAAGGAAGCGCTGGCGGGGAATACAGGGAAGGGGGGAGAAGTGGCTTGGCATCCGCTGCTGCCCAGACCTCGGTGAGCCTGAGCTGTGCGTCAGTGAGAGGGTGCACAGGTGGTACCAGCCTGTGTGGCGGCGAGAGGGAATGAGCTGGAGTCTGCTGCCCTGTCAGGGTCACCTCAGCAATTCATCAGGTTAACTTTGAGCATGAGGCTAATGTAGCTACTGTAGCAGGCTATTCAAGCACAGGCTTGTCTCTTCGGCACTTAGGTGAATCAGGGCTTATTTCTGCACTGTGAAGTTCAAAGTGAATTAATGTTGCACCTTCGTCACGCTGAGCCTCCTGAAACATCCTCCATCTCTCCTCCAAAACGGAGCTGATGCCTCAAAGACAAAACTCTAGTTGGGGAGGGGAAAGGACAACACTGAGCCCAGTCCTGTGTCCTGTGCCCAGGGAACCGAATCCCACCCACTCTGCTCTGCTCTCCCCCTCCAGGACCTGGCAGGCAGGCTACAAGGTCATTCCTCCTCCTTTTGGGGCCGTGTGGCCAGGCTGGCTGGTGGATGTGAAGACACGCTGGAGAAGACAACAATGCTGCCTACAACTGCTGGCCACTGGTGGAGGAGCAGGTTCCTCATGAGGTGGCAAGAGGCTTGTCGTAAGTAATGCCTACTCAGGTACTAAGTACGATGATCCTGTTTGTCAAGGCAGTGGAAAGAAAATAGGTCACATCAGGGTTAAGAATAGGGGAGAGGGACAGCTAAGAATGGAGATGTTTGAACTAATTCCTGATTCCTTTAGAGGCCAGGCTAGCTGGGAGGGAGAGTGAAACTAAAGCTGAAGATGGGCTTAAAGTGGGACAGCAAATGATGATTGCTTCTGAATTCCAGTGGGCCTGGCAGGTGAGAAACAGCAAGACAGATACCACTGCACAAAGATCCACTCTGAACATTTCTCAGATTGGCATCCTGTAAGATGCAGACTCCTCTCTGTGGTAGGGGTTTATATGTAGGCTGCTGAGCATGGCTCCCAGCTCTTCACAGCAGAAGAAGTCATGACAGATTTTAGAAGGGAATACAGGATGCGAGTGCAGAATTCTCCTACTGGGCACTGCCACATGTAGTGAAAATCAAGGAGTAAATAAAGAAGATCTTTTTTAAATTAAATTGTAAAAGTTCAGCCTATGCGTCTTCCCAGTGGAGCGGGGCACTTGCTACAGTATCCCTGAGTGCAGAGCAGAGACTGCTAGGGCGATGTGGGGCTTCAGGGAATGTACCTGCACTTCAGAGAAGCATCTGGGGACCGCAGCAGAGGAAAGGGAACACTTGGAGAGTGTCCATCACTATCGCATGCCCAGGCAGCTGAGGGGGTCTGTGGTTTCCCTTGCTCCTGTCGTCCTGATCAACGTGGGGGTACCACTGTAAGACACTGGGGGAATGATTTCCTTCTCCAGAAAACAGGCGTCTTTGTAATCCATCCTCACAGACTAGACTGCTGTATAAATTATTTACAATGAATGCTACTGAGTCTTGACTTAATCTGATATTCCTGGATCAGCTTTCTGCCACCTACTAGAGTCACCAAACACCCCACAAAGTAACTTCATCTTCCCCTAACACAAAAACACATACTACTCATCCTTCTGTAGGGCTGGAAGACAACTTCAAGTTCTTTCTACTGCTTCCCTGCCTCTATTCCCCGTAAAGCTGCATCCTAACCAGTGCGATGAATTCCTTGATCTCAGCTCACATCCTAGTGGATGCACCTCTTGCAGAGACTGAAAATGAAATCAGACCTTCTCCTCTCTATGATTTTAGTAAAATATTTCCAAGAGCACAAAGCAATATATGGGTAACAACAAGACATTTTTGGCACATCCTCCACGGCTGCAGAAACTTGGCATAAATCCAGTTCCTGAACATAACCACAGCCAGCTGCCTGAGACTTTGTTCCTACCAGCCACTGCCAGCATACGTACTGGTGGAACCCCACAGCTGCCCAGTCGGGGATGGTGGTGGGTAGGTATTTTGAGAGATAAACCCTGAACAGAACACCACCTGTATAGCATTACACACGGTCTGCTCTTGCCTTTCTTGGTGTACAAAGCAGCTGTTATCTCATCATCACAGCTGTCAATCTATTATTAATACTGTACTTTTGTTAAGCATCCAGGAAAAGATGGGGTCACTTGAGTGACTCACGTCTCTCTCCCTTCCCCACTCTAGCTCCCATTCTTTTAGTTCTCTCCCTACAACAAGAGCGCGACGTATTCTGAATGGAATTAAGTATCAGCCAGCTAGACAGTACCTGCACTGCACCAGTCCATAGGCTATGATCTGCTTTCACGACAATCTCTGCTATTGACCCCAACCTTTGCATGACAAGAAAGCACAGACGTACTCAGGGTAAAGATCTCTCTTGTATTTCACCATAAGGATCCATAATTATCATTAAAAGAGCACACAGATTGGCATGGCCTGGGCTGATGTGCACCTGAGATCTCAACTGTATGACAGAAAAAATTTCTTGAAGGAATTGTGAAAGATGGATGAAATAAAAAAAGAGCAGAGACACTCTCTCTGAACATTTATCCCTTGGTCCTTAATAAAGTCATATAGCTTAGGATCCAAGCTATGGAGTCTCCTTAGGTTACCAGTCCAAAAATCTGCCAATTCTCACAAGGATCGCTGGGAACACAAAAAGACCTGACACAGGATGACATGATTTGAGTATGAAGGCAGTATCACTGACAGAAACCAAGTCGATATGAAAAAATGGGCTATGGGCCAGACTAAACTCTAGAGAGAGTGCTGTGAAGGAAGAGAGGAATAGCATGGCTGACTGCAGAGCTGTTCCAGGCAGAGCTTCTCCATAGCACGGGTCTCCACCAGCTCCCTCTCCTATGACAGTCCTTTCACAATTCCCTTGGGGTTAAGAAACAAAACACCTGCTTGTTGGTTCTTCGGAAAAAACCAGGACAGAAGAATCTGGTTTCTAGTCCAGGAAAGAACGGCAACACAATAAAGGCAACCACTTTAGCTACCATTCACCCCTAAAAAGACTCTACCAACTCCCAGTGACTGCCTTCTCTGAAGAAAAGTGAGAAATGGAGAGGACAGGGCATGACGTAGAGACAAACCTACTTCAGTTTTAGTCAAATGCTCAAACTTGTCACCTTACAAAACAGCAAGGGAGCTGAATTTGCTTCCCACATTGAAGAAATTATTCTCAATTCCACAAAGGGAATTAAGATGAAGGATGCAAATGTTTTACATAGTCTGCTTAAACATAACTCCCACTCCTTTAATGACAGGAGGCACAAAGCTTGCTTTCCTGTTGCTGATGCTTCTTTGTCACAGAAATGAGAGTTTTAAAAGCCACTGGCTCCCAGGGAGGGTTGGCAACTAGTGCCCTGACACTGCTCACAGGATCTGGACCCATGTCTGGAATGGTGATCCACGACAGCTCTAAAAATGCCGGTTTGTGGATTGTCCAACCTTATCTTTGAGACACTGCAGGAGAAAGGGGGTGTGTGCTAACCCTTTTCCTAACACCCCTTTCTTCAACTACCAACCTGCAATTTTCTTCCTCATCTCCATTGCTATGGGAAATTTTGGTCAGAGAAGATGCTTGTGGGGCTGTTGCTGTGGGATTCAGAAACTATTTTGAGAGCAATGGCAAATACCAGGTGTCCAGTGGTTTAGGGTCTCGTTGCTGCTTTTTAATAGCTTTCTTGGTCATCCTTTTGTAATGTAATCTAATTCATAAAAAACTCTCTTGCCACAAGGCCTACACAACACACTGTAGATATGGAGAGCAAATGATACCCTGATTCAGAGGCTAACTTAGACCTGAGTTTGATCTACCACAAAGATTAGGATTCAAACTGCAGGAGCACAACTGAGATGTAGGTTGTTTTGTTTTTATTTTTCTTAAAAGCTTTTCATTAACAGGTCTATTTCTGAAAAAAATAGAGCTTCTTAAATATATACTAGTCCCACCTCTCTCAACCCTGACTATTTAGAAAGAGCTGTCCTTTATCAGAGGTGACATGTCCCACCGCACTCTGCTCCATTCTCCTCTGACAGGTTCCAGTGCTCTAGTATCTGGCAACAAAGTCCTCTGGGATGCACTGTACTTACTTCCTTATGAAACTGGAAGGATATTTACTTGCTTGCTCATGAAAAAAAGGCTAAGAGGAAATTCATGCTGCCAGGGAGCAGGACAGCAGTAAAAGGATGTATCTGTGAGGAAGCTCATTACACTGCAGGGCATTGCGTCGAAGAGTCCTGCTGTGAGGGTCATATTGTAGCCGTAGCTGTGCTCAAGGCAGCGATGGGTGAGGATGGGAAAGCACTGCTCTAATACATGCACTCTCTCTCCCCTGCTTTTCACCTACCAGTGTTCAGTTGTTGGCTGTCGCTATGTGCTGCCGAGTCCTTCTTTGCTTGCCCTTCCTCCTGCAAGTGTAACAGTGGCAACCTGGAAGTGGACTGTAGCGGCTTGGGCCTCTCTTCCATCCCCTCAGACATCCCCGCAAACACCAGGACCTTCCTCTTTCTCAACAACAAACTCAGCATCCTGCCGGGAGCAGTGTTTTCCAACCTCTCTGCCCTACAGAGGCTGGATCTATCCAACAACTTCTTGGACCAGCTCCCTCAGAACATCTTCAGTGACCTGGGGAACCTCACGGAGCTCCAGCTGAGGAACAACAGCATCCGGGCCTTGGACAAGGACCTGCTACAACATACGGCCCTGCTGCGCCAGCTGGATCTCTCCATCAACGGCCTGGCCCAGATACCCTCGGGCATCTTTGACGACCTGCCTGCTCTCCGCTCCCTCTCTCTCAGGTCCAATCGCCTGCAGAGTCTGGACAGGGTGACCTTCGAACCACTAACCAGCCTGCAGCAACTCCAAGTTGGGGATAATCCCTGGGAATGCGACTGCAACCTCCGGGACTTCAAGCACTGGATGGAGTGGTTCTCCTACCGAGGTAGGTGCTTGTGCAGCGGGAGCCAAGCGCGGAAGCACTGGTTTTCCATGGAAAGGCAGACAAAGACAGGCAGGGAAGAAGCACTGGCAGATACATCTGGCAGGTCAGGCTGACCCAAATGCCAGATCTTAGCCAAGCAGCATGAGGACCATGCTACAATGCTAAGAGACAGTTTAGTGCCACTGCACCTTCATATAGCAACACTGCCACGCTGAGAAGTCCTCTGCAGCCCCAGATCTCCTATTTCCTTATTTTGTTTCTAATCTGAAAGATCTTTTTTTCTTTTTTGAGAGGAAAGAACTTTCCTCAAATAACATCAAAATTTTAGGATTATGAGTTCCCCTCACCCTCTCTGCCTAAAGAGAAGAAATGCTTTTCATGCTTGAAAATAACCATCCCGTTCTCTTCCTTAAGCCGGGAGAAGTAAAAACCAGATTTGGCTGTAAAGCATCAGGTTTGCTTTCAACAAAAGAACCATAGGAAACAGTGCCACTTAGGAAAATACTGCAACTAATATTGGCAAACCCAAACTAAAGCTCAAATTAACAAGCCAGGCCCCAAGTCAGACTGGCTATAAAATCAGCATTTCAAAACAAGCAGTTTTTGACAAGTTTGTATTTCCAGCTTTGCCTCAAAATATGGAAGGCTGGAAAGGTATGTATCACTTAGCATGAATGCCGACAGGATGACGTGCTTTCAGGAGCTGCGACTCAAAGAAAGATGGCACATTTTACAGGAATGACGATTAAAGGCCTGACCTTCTGTCACTGGAGCCAATAAGTAGGAAAGGGTCTCAAATCATGCAGATAGCCACAGTCAGCTGTCACATCCCTGCTGATCACAGCCATGCTGCAAAGAAAAATTATCTGCGCCTATGGCTACACTGCAGTCTGAAATATGCATTTGTGTGAGCAGAATCAAACAAGCATACGAGTGCCACTTTCCTCTCGTTTTTTTTTTTGTTTGTTTGCTTTCTTTCTTGACTCTCATATCACAGAGTTGATGGAAAGCACATGGAGTTAATTTTGCTTTTTTTTCCCCTTCCAAAGAAATTGCCCAAACTTGCTCAAGCATTGGTTTCAACATCTGTCACTACTTTCACAGAGGGGGGATGGATTAGTTGTTAGAAGATGGGACTGTGTGCCTGTTGTTATTTTGAGAAGATACAGCCTGGTCCTATCTTTTTGCTTTTATTTCTCCTTTTCTAAAATGGTTCTACTGACACTTACATAACTCACTAAACAGTATGAGGCTGACTTAATAGATGGTTTCAGAGGGCTTTCATGTCTTGGCCTGAAAGATGTCTATGTAGATATCATGCACCACGAGCTCTACTGTCAAATCCAACCTAGACAGAAGCATCCCAGCCAGCTGCCATGGTTGAAGCTGTTCCAGCTGTGGAGGGCTAAGGCATGCAAAATGTCTCCAAGTTAGGCAAAACAATAATTTTAAAGGATATCACGTGTGCTTCTGCCCGGTGCATGGAGGTGCACTCCCTCCCTCCACCTTTGACATGCACTGTGGATCTGGCAGGACATGGGGGTCTGCAGCACCTCCTGACTTCAGTGTCATCCTTGAACTCTAGAAACATCCTGCGCTAGATCATGGCTGCCTTTTGGGGATGGGAGAAGCTCTCTGAATACTCTCTCTACTCACCAATGCATTCATGCATGAGGGATGGTTTTTATAGCCCCACTGCTACAATAAAGCAGTTCCCCACTTGCTAACCATAATGCTGCTATGTCTGACTTCTGTAGGGCAAATCCTTAGCAGGTGTGAACGGAGTCATAGGAACTTACCCCACCTGAGGATCTAGCTCTGCTGTCACTGTATCGGGATGAAGCCGTGGTTCACTCCTATTATCTCTATTGGGACAGGTGGGAAAATCGACCAGCTGGCATGTACCCTGCCCAAGGAGCTGAAAGGGAAGGATATGCGAATGGTGCCCATGGAGATGTTTAACTACTGCTCCCAGTTGGACGATGAGAACAGCTCTACAGTGCTGGACAATACTGGCCCACCCTGCACTAAAGGAAGCCCAACTCCTTCCAAATCTAAATCGGGTCCAGAAACAGAAGTGGAGCCCAGTGTGGGATGCCCTCAAAAACAGCGATATAGGCCTGTGAGCGTGCGCCGAGCTATTGGCACTGTGATCATCGCAGGGGTGGTTTGCGGCATTGTTTGCATCATGATGGTGGTGGCAGCTGCTTATGGTTGTATCTATGCCTCCCTTATGGCCAAGTACCACCGGGAGCTGAAGAAGAGGCAGCCACTCATGGGTGACACAGAAGGTGAACATGAAGAGCAAAAACAAATCTCTTCTGTGGCATGAAACTCTTCTAGGAAGGAAGGGACAGCAATGAACAAAGGTACCTGAGAGCAGTCAAGCATGGGGTCCTCCCAAAATACATCTTCCCAGACAGACAGACAGACTGTGCTATTGCTCCACTCGCCCACGTAGTGCAACATGCTTCTGGGGGGTCAGGGCACCTGGCTCAATTTCTGTTCCTCTGCCCCAGGCCCATTTTGTGCCCTTTCACCCTTGGGCCCTCCCAGACAAATAAAGTAGTCAGACCTCGAGTGCTTGCTGTGCCTCATGCCCTTGCACAGAGCTTCCCTCGCATGCCTGCTGTGGAGGCAGCTGGCACCTTCTGGGAACCTGTGTCATCCTCTCAGCTTCAGTCCTGAGTTGTCCTATATCCTGTCAAGAGCTCTCTGCAAACAGAGAGAGCAGCTCTGTGAAAGCTTGTGTGAGGAGCAGGACACCAGAAGTGTCCACGCCTTGCTGTTAGGGTCACTGCTGTTGCGTGACACTAAGTTGCTGCCCACCCTACAGGTCAGTGCTGCCGAGAGCACATCAGAAGGGAGGGAAGGTCCCTAGGGGATGACAACAGTCAGGGGGAGATTTCCCTTCTCACTTTTAAAGGTGGAAAGATACCTGTATCACTCTAACATGCTGCCAGGGAGCAGTGTCCCTCTTTTTGCTCCTGGCCAAGTCCAAATCTGCAAGCTGACACACACACGTCATTCTTTATAGGTGCACAGATACAGAGCCATCTTCCTGTACGCACACATGCTTACTGACTCATTCTGATCCCAACACACACACAGAGTCAGTCCCAACTCCAGACATACAGGCACCCCACCTTGTGCATGCAGAGCCACATGTGCCCATGCTGATCTGCCCTCTGCATGCAGCCATGAAGACATTCAGCCATTTCACCTTACTTTCATCATAACAGTGTATAGCACCTTCTGCTTCAGACAAAATACATGCACCCTGCCACTGAGGAGCTAACAAAAACATCTCAGCCATAGTGCAGAGCTGGTGGCAATGGGCAGGAGAAGATGGAGAGAGGCAAAGTTATTAAGGTTACAGCATAAGTCTGTGGAAATGAGTACACAGCATGAAAAAAATGTGTGTTCTTGTTATCTATTTTATGTTTTCTATGATAAATGGAGAGGGTAAGGATATGAAGCCTCCATTTGGAAATGTTTGATTGGCAGAGCAGAAGCGGGTCATCAGGAAAGACTAGAGGAGAAGGCTTACCAGCCTTGGTAGTGTAAGCTATGCTGAGGAGTAGTGTGAGCCTAGGGGAAGGTGGCGGGAGAAGACGACACACAACCCAAGAGCTGGCGTGGCTGGCAGAGGGGCAAGCACAGTGTATGGAGTAGGGTTATGTGGCTGGGGCAACTGAAGAGAGGGGTTCAGAATTCTGGAGGGTCTTGAGGTGAAGGCTGAAACTTGAACCACAGCATGGCACAGGTGGGAGAGCCCAGGAAGGGGCCAACACTGTACACAGCACAGCCCGCATACACTCCCCTCACCATCACTGCTGTGTTCACTGCCATCCATAGCTGCACATGAGTGTGCCCACACACACGACTGTGCACGCTGCCACTGTCACGTAGGGTGACTTCCCCTAACCAGATTTTAAAGCCCTCAGACTGCAGTGCCTCCGATTAGTCTTAGCTCTTTCTGACCTGACAGGGAGGAAAAAAAAAAAAAAAAGTGAGAGGGGAAAAAAAATGAAAGGAACTCAACATAAGGACCCATTTTGTATCACTGGAAGTGGGATAAAATGCTGTCTCCAGGGGAGAGCGCACATTGCCATGGTAACCTGCTCTAACCCGTCACAGTGGGTATTCCTGGGCGAGGAAGATGACACTGGAGGTCGTGCATCCGCAGTGCCTGTGGATGGTGTGATCCCTGCCATCAGGAAACAAGCTGGCAGCCAGCCCAGCTTTGCAGGGTGTTTCGCTAGCAACCTGTGTTCAGAGCCCAGCATGCACCGCAGGTGGACCCTGCCAGGGCATGTCACCTCTTCCCCCTGCTCCAGCTGGATCCCGATGTCTTTGGACGTCTCACAGCCCTCCTGCTCGCTGCTGCTGGATCCCTGTGGAAGCGATGCACGCTGGGTCCTCACCCCGTTCTGGTCCCAGACAGGTGGCTGTACTGACCACAGGCACACAATGCCAAGTCTTTAATTAAAACCTGGAGTGGCAAAATCCCTCCTGGCCTACCCAGGGCCACCAGAGGCAAAGAGACAGGATGCTCTGGGCTGTTTTAGCATGACTTCCCTTTGATGCAGGGATGTATGGGACAGAGGAGGACGTTCTTCAGGAAGCAGAAGACCAGACTGCCCTGGAAGAAGGACTGGGAGAAGCAGTCCACCCACAAGTGCGTGCACACATTGTATCCCCACTCCCACCACACTGCTTGTGGGGAAGAGGAGGAGAAGGAGGGAGGAGAAGGAGGGGGGCTGGCAAGATGTGAGGAAGAAGGACTCTTCCCCCATGCACTGTATAGCCACTCCAACCATCCCATCTGCTGCAACTGTAGCCCGCTCCGAAGGGCAGAACTGGTGCACTGCAGACTCTGTATGCGTGTTACTTCTGCTCCACATTCCCAGCAAGCCAGGACTAGACTCTGCCTGCTGGATCCAAACCTCTCCCCAACCTCCCTCTCAGGGGAACTTCTCCCTTTACCATACTGGACTCCACAATCATACTTGAAATGGGACTTGAGTCAGAGCGGTATATTTATAGATCTATATTTTACTTGCATCAAATAATGGTGAAACATTGCACAAAACAAATGGGATCTATATATGTGTATGCGTGTATGTGTGTGCGTGTGTGTGTGAGTGAGCAAGAGAGTGAGAGAGAGATTGTTTTTAAGGGGATAGACTAGAGGTAAAATGAATGGGAGGCAGGCAGGGGACAATGCAGGGGGTGGGGGTGTGTGTGAAATCCTCCTTTCCCTGCACCTTCCCTGTGACCTCCTCCCACCCTGACCAATTTTTCTTTGTTGCTAATATTTTCTATATCTTGTGTTGTGGGGCTGATGATGACCTTGCCCATCCTTTCCTTTTTCTTTTCATTTATAAGGCAGAAAGTCTGGATTCATCTCAACCCTAGACAAGGGACTGCTATGTTTAGAAACCCACCCAGGAAAGGAGAAGACAGGAAAGGGGAGAAAAGAGAGTTGCTGAGAAACATGAAGGCTGGCTGCTATGGGGAGTCCCACTGGAAAGCAAATACTTTGCTTGGAAGGACAAGGACCTGTCCTCTTTCACGCAGAGCAGAGTAACAGGGTTCACTGGGAAATGCCCTCTTTATACCACTGTTTGCAAGCAGCCTCTTACTCTGTTCCCTAGCACACCCAGAAAACAGGCTGCCTGAGTGTGACTGAGCTGCTGCACTGTCCACAGGCACTCTAGGGAACATGGTACCCAGCGTGGTCAGAAATGAAGCTCTCCTGTGGGATGCTGGATACAGGATGAGACCCAGTGCTCCTTGTGTGCCCAGGCAATGGGTTCCTCTGGTGTGTGGGGACAGGGACTTCCGTTCTCCCTGCAGGCATGGCTAGGCATGGGGGGAATCCCCCTGAACGCACCCTTTGCTGCAGGCAGGTGCACCAATGCCATACGCAGGTGCCTGCCCTCAGGAAACCGTCTTCTGGGGCAGGCAGGTTCAACATGTGCCAGGGCAATGTAGGGGCTGGCAGGGCCACCAGAAACACCCCTTCTGCTCCCCCCGCTGGTACAGGCAGGCACGTTTCTTGCAGGGAACAGATGGCACTTGTAATTTCTTTTTCTTTTCGTTACTGTTTGAGGGAGAGCAACAAGATTTTCTAAAATGATTGAATGGAGGTTTCTTTGGCATGAGACAGAAAATTTTTAAAGGTATATTATATTTCTGGCTTGTTGTTACAGAAGAATAATAAAGAATGTATTTTCCTATGCTCCTTCTTGTTTAAATGAGATCTCTGATAGTAATCTTCCCTCTCTCCCCTACCCCCTGCGAAAGCAAACACTGCAGGGATACAGCCAGCCAAACGAAAAAGCCCCTGCATTCCCACATACGTGTATCCTTGTCTGTACATAGTGGTTGAACTTGGAATGAACATGCACATATATATACACACACATACACTACATCAGTGTAAGTCCTAGGCAAGCATGTGCCTGTAGTTGGGGTGAGGCTGTAGGACCAAATACACAGTCAGTCAAGGTAAGACCCTAGATCTAGAAACACACACACACACACACACACACACAGAGTACTCCAGGGACACAGCCAGACAAGGGCGATTGTGTAACAAGGATAAGATACTGTGGCAATCAGCTCATTACATAAAAGTCGAAAGGGCCAAATTAATCCCCAGTGTAAGAACCCAAAAGCCAATGGAGTTATATTCAGGTCAAATTTGATTCCAAAAGCTTTTTTTTTTTTTTTTTAATTAGAGCATAATGTTCAATAAAACTTACAGTAACAAATAGTGAGCTATGGGTTCCTACATCTCCAGATCCCTGACCCGCCTGAACAAGGTTATTTTGAAATGAATGGAAATTTCTATCTAATCCTATTGCACCCCCAAGTACACAAGCTGTCACCCCTAGAGCTAAAAGAGTCTCTCCACCAGCTGTTCACTGGCTAGGTCTATCACACACAGCTAAGAAGTTTAAATTCCCCACTTCTCCACTGCCAGTGCTAATTCATCCCATACTCTTCCTGTGAGAAAAAGCTCATCCTGATGCGTGTGGAACCACAAAAGATGTTAAACCTCACCACAAGCAAACCCTTGTGCCACCGTACTCACGCTGTTGTACTCGGCCACCCTGTTATACTCAGTCTGATCTTCAGAGAGAAACTAGGAGCAGAACCCAGATACTCTTAATCCGATAACAGCTGAGGCATCTGTTCTGCTGAAAAGGTATGTGCCACAAGAGAATCACCATTATAGTTTAACAGTATGGTGTCTATGACACATAGTTTAATCTAATTTTGCCATGTAGGTAGAGGAGCGCACACAGATACTACTAAGCA